AAAACCATTACCAGCTATTTCTATTCATTGTGATTGTAGGTCAGCGATTGAAAAATTCCATCAAGAGAATGCAGATGTGAAAATAAATCGACACTTGAAAGTGCGACACAAATCCTTGAGATATAAGATGAAAAATCATATAATATCCTTAGACTTTGTAAGATCAGAGAAAAATCTTGCAGATCACTTAACTAAAGGCTTATCTAGGGCAGTGGTCCTAGAATCATCGAGGGGGGTGGGGTTAAGCCCATAAGAAAAATTACTACAGTGGCAACCCAACCTCGCAGAGGTTCAATGGGTAGAAACAAACTGAATGAGTGATTAATTGTGACAACCCAACCTCGCAGAGGTTCAATGGGTAGAAACAAACTGAATGAGTGATTAATTGTGAGGAGCACTAGATTTATTTTCTCACATCCCTAGGGTGATCAGTGCTCATAAAAAGCAAGTGAAAGGTTAAGTCTAACTCTTAATGAATCCAAGACTCATGAGGCATAATGCTTACTTGCTCGCATCCTTATTAGGATTCACCTATATGCGTGTAGTTGTGAGGCCGCGACTATGGGATCAGGGCTGCTCCCTAGTAACACACATGAAAGATACCTGCGCAAGGCCGATAATACCCAACCAACTTAGAATTCTTCAAAACTGAACTATGTGTGCTTTTTGTAGAAATCTGATAAATGGGGCTGGTTCAAGGCGAAGTCCACCAAGCTCTCACGGATCTATACAACTGTCACTAAGTGAAGGTTCAAACCGAAAGGTACCTCCACCTATTACATAGTATAAGGAAACCAACAATCTTATTTATTTGTTTTTATTTTACTCTTATTTCTGAGTTATTTTAAGTTTTAAGTTACGTGGGAGATTGTTGGAGTTGTAACTTAAAACTTGGGTTTGAAGAGGAAAAGAGAAAAAGTTTAGTCCCACATTGAAAAAAAGATGGGAAGATAGGTTCTTTATAAGCCTTCCCTTTCTCTCCTATACCTAGAAGAAAATAAAGGTTATGTTCCACACCACACACGCGCGCGTCGGCCGGGCCGATCTCAGGCTCGGGTTCGAGTCGGGTGGCGCGCGCACACGACCTGCGGATACGAATGCAGCTCCGGATTAATGGGCCCTTAATCTGCTACATTTTTATTTTTAATTTTTGCTAATTGGAACAGTTAAAAACGTGATTAATGTGGATCTTCTTTTCAGGATGATTAAAACAAAATGGTTAAGAGAATTAAATTTTGAAACGGTAATATTCATGAGATTTAAAACAGAATCAAAACGGAAAAGGTTAAAATCGGTAATTAAAATATATTAATTGCGGATTTATGAATAATGGTTGTTTTTCCCCTATAAAAGGACCTAAACCTGCAAGAGTTTAAGCACAGTGAAAACACAAAATCTCATCTTCTTCTCTGCTCTGTTCTTCCTCTTACGTTTACTTGCTGTTACATTTTGTTGGTTCCCTGAAAGTGATGAAGAATTCGCAAAACCTTCTTGAAACTCGTGCCGACGAGAAGGATGTCGCCTGACCGAGGGTCGTCGTATCTCCGAGATCTATTGTCGCGTAGCCCTTTACGAGAGGGGGCAATTAGTTTCTTGGGACAGTGCTTTGCACGCTTCGATCATCAGGCTGTATTTCTAACTTTTATTTACTTTCATTTGATTCAATTTCATTTCTGAGTTATAATAGTTATACGTTTTTATCTAATTTATATTAACTGTTTCAAACTAAATTTCGTGCTAATTATTGTCTAAACAGCTAATTTTCCCAACACATATAAATACCCTGGACAATAAAACTTCATCAGATTAATTTGTTTCTCGCCGGCTGTAGTATATGATATAAAGTTACAGTACCGATAACTTTACAACGTAGCTATTGCGTACCAGTCGAATTCTTGACCAATGTGTCGTACGTTTTCACAGTGCGCGTTCACGTAATTTGTAATTTTTTAGAGACAGGAGAGAGGTAGGTAGGTAACTAGATGGTGGTTAATTTATTCGTAATGTGTAGCGTACGTGGGATTTTGTTTGTTTGTTTGTATACAGAGTGATGGATTATTTATAAAATTCTTTTCTTAATAATTTTTATTTTTGATATGTATGTACTGGTCATGTATATATTATACTCTTTGAAATCTCTGTCTATGTTGCTTAGTTAGTTGAACTGTCTATCACTTGATTCCATAGACTGCAGTACAATATTGAAGCATATCGCTGAAAATAATCATCCTCCAAATCAAAGCTCAAACCTGTATGTAACTGTACCCAATTGGTACTAGTAAAACTAAGCCTCTAATTGCACTAGTAAATTGTAATTAAGAATTGCAAGCTAGCTAACTCCATAAAGCTTGGTAGTTGGTACGGAGGGTCATATGTCCTCTAGTTTGATAAACAAGTACCACCTTTTAAAATTCTGCCATTACACCATATCTTAGGTGTGTTTGGCAATTACCCTAAAATTGGGTTAGCGCTAGCCCTGTTTTAAATAAAACCATATTTGTTTTGGATTAAGGCAATCGTGGTCCAAAATAAAATAAGTTTAAAAGTTCAAATTAACCTTAGAAAAACTGAGTCAGATTTGGCTTAAATATATATATCCAACCGGAATTTTGTCCAAAATGAGGCTAGACTTAAACCTGGCCCCATTTTGAAAAGCTGTCATACGCACCCTATTTTCCTCACTGGCAAAAGTCTTTGTGCCTTAATTAAAACAATTTGGATCATCTTTACTATAAAAAAAAATAGCGAAGATACCATCACTTTAATCCCAATCCTTAATTATCTACTGAGCAGTTGCGATACATTTCAAATCTAACACTCACAATACTCACGTGTGTTACACTCATTCCTAACTTGCACTCAAAGAAAAGGTCATACCTACCCACTAGATAATTAATAGTTATGATTAATTAGTGGTCCATACACTACGTTTTTTATAGTGGAGAGGATCTGAATCCTAATAAAAATGGGTGCCTAAAAGGCCAATTTGGTCCCTGTACTGAATCTTCATTCTCAAGTTGGTTCCCATACTCTTTTTTTTTTTTGCCCTCAACTTAGTCCATGTACACTATGTTATATGTAAATTTAGTCTTATTTTAACTTTTGTTAAAACTTTGTGTTAAATAAAAATAGAAAAGACAACTCTATCCTTATGTCAGTTATCTAGTCATTTCCTAAAAAAAAGGGTCTCCATGCTCTAAAATTGTGTGTGTACATGCTATATTAACGGGCTACTTTGTGTAATTTCAAGTTAATAACAGGAACAATTTGCAAGATATCCATTTAAATGAGCTCCGCTCTCCGTCCTGAAGAGATAAATGTATGTTCGGTCCGCTCATTGTTCTTGTTATTACCCTGCAATTTGAAAACACCAAAGCATAATATAGTAGTAGTTGTTGAATTCGAAATATTATTCTTGATCTATCAGCCTTTTTTAAGTAAAAATTGCTTGTATTTCAGCAATAAATATCCTGAATTGTTTTTAATGAAATAAGTATATTTATCAGTTAGTCTTATATATGCATTTTAACAGTGAAAGCTTTTGAATCAAATTATTGGGAGCGAAGATGGGGGGAAAAAATTAAATGAATACTGACGCTTACATGTTTCCTGGTATTATGTACATACTTGATCATTTAGCCATTGCTGTTCAATGTGTTCAAAAAGAGTTTTCTAAATCAAAAGTACGGGGCCCTCCCATTTCATTGTAATATAATCGTATCAGAAAAATTAACTTCCAAATTCTAACGGATGTTAAAAAAGGACTTAGTTGATTGATAACTAAGGTGTTGTAGGAGGACTAAATTGAGATAAAAAAAAGTAGGAGGACGAATTTGAGAATGAAGCCATAGTACAGGGATCAAATTGGCATTTTACCAATTAAAATGGAAAAGGTCAAGCATCAGACTACATAATTTTGCAATCCTCCACCCCGAGACTTCGGTATATTCAACAACATACATTTTCGTGTCATGTTCTATTAATTGGAAACAAAAGTCATATTAGCATGCAAGCGGATAGTTCTTAACAACTAAAGAGGTCATATTATCATGCGAGCTGATAGTTCTTAACAACTAAAGAGGTAGTAAAAAATCTCTGAAGTACTACCTCCGTTGACCGGTATACAACTACTCATATCATACAACTGCTCATCTTTTGTACATTTGACAAAAGATTTACATGGTTAGCCTTTATAAGTCAAGTCTTCCTCGTGCAGATAATCATTATAATTCAGTGTTTTTCATGCGGATCTGTCGATTAATGTAAGTCTGGGTGGTGTAGTTGGTCATCACGCTAGTCTCACACACTAGAGGTCCCCAGTTCGAACCTGGGCTCAGACACATTAAGTTGTTTTTTATCTTTTCCCCTCTCTCTCTCTCTCTCTCTCTCTCTCTCTCTCTTTTTGTGAAATTTAATTTCTTTCAAAAGCCTTATTCTTTCGTTACACAAAATAGCAAACGTCATAAAAATTTATTTCAAAGGCGTAAACAATTGCCTATAGCATTTCTTTACAATTTAATTTTAATAATAAATTTCCACTCCCTTTGTGACTCTGTACGTTGCATATAAGATGAGTTCGTTTCCTCCAGATGCGAGAAAACGCAAGGTTACTACAATTTTCCTTTCCTTTTATTTTATTTTAGTTTATTTATTTATTCATTTATTTTGTTGGTCTCCAGGACAAAGGAAGGAACTAGACGGTCTCTTCTGATAAATGTTTTCCTCGCATCCTTCAGGTTAATAATTCCCAATTATTTAAAATTATAAACTTACACGAGAGAGAAATTCCTTTTTCTAGATGCATCAATCCTAGTCTCAATCCATTTTACCAGCTCATACAACAACTTTTGTATCTCAAGCAAACGCTAAGTTAGCATACCAAAAAGTTGCTATTTCAGTCACTATACAATTGAGAAATACCATAGCGTAAAGAAGCTCCTAACTGCTCTCCAGCGAAAGTAAAACATCAGCATGTTTGTAACTGATTTAAAAGAATAATGTGCTATTCAACCCATAAAATATTATGCTCAGCAAAAGATAAATAACAAACAAGTACAGTTCTACACAGGATAAACTAAACATTGCAGCATGCTGGTTTCAGAAGAACATGAAAAGTCCATGAATTCTGATCAAACCAAGTGAGGGAATGACAGCAATGTTTCATAATGAAACAAGTATACGGAAATTTTGCAACAATCTCATACTACAGGGCTCATTATTACATGATGGAGCAGCGGTTGACACAGAATTTCATAAATTTCTTGTCCTGAAGGATTTCTTGGATAGCCTCAAGTTTGATTATGATGTTTTCAAAGCTGGGGCGTAACTGGGGATTCTCGTGCCAACATTCACGGAGCAATCTGGGGCATTACAGAATGTATTAGAAGCAAGAAAACTGGGAATTAAACAATCAAGACTAATAAAATAAAAAACCGATTTATAACTAAAAAGCCAATGAAAAAACTCAATTATATGGTTCATTTTCTCTGAATGCATTTAGTGAAATTGGTTCCTAGCTTCATATAAAACAACTTCAAACTAAAAGAGGTGTAGAAAATTATAAAAAAAAACTTTTAAATATTCAGATTCAACAGATTCTATTCTCTACGATCAGATGGCTCTAGGATAAGACATAATACAGAGTCGGTCTTAATTTCAGTGAAGTGTGAGGAATCAATAATTTCCCTCGCAGTTTTTCAGACTTAAACTTGTTTGACCTAAATACATTCTCAAGTGTCTTTGAATAATATCATCATTCTTATTTCTTAAATTACATCACAGTCATTAAACCATCTAACAACATCTGAAACGAAGTCTTTTAGAAATTCTGATAAATTTTATTATTTTTACTTTGAAATCAATTGCATTTTTATTATTCTTAACTCATGGTTGTCTCATTCATTATGTAGACACGCATCTAGCATGAAAAATATTAGTACAAAATCACATATAATATGGGAGGGGAAAATGTCTAGTCTCACGATTTAATTTTTTCTGGATATGCAACGGACGAAAGAGATGGTCTAGAATGTTCATAAGCTCGCTTGTCTGCTACAACCTCTGGTGACTCTGCCCTATTTGCAGGGCCCCCATGCAACATCTGCAACAAGACATCTCAATCAATGGCAAAGTGTTCATGTAATAACAAGAGCAATAAGAGAAGAAAGACAATATTTAGGCTTTTACAAGAGGACAAATAATAAAATAATCACATTCATAAACAAAGATGCACGAAAGTATCTTCTCCAGCAACTTGAGTTTAATTCTTCCCATGAGCAAAGTGACAGAGATTTCAGGTTAGTTCACGTGAATATTATTGCAAACCTGAGGGCCAAGATATGTGTTTTATGGAACATAATCATGTTGGGTTTTAACTTCAATTTTCTTAAAACAGATGATAAGGTGATTGATTGATTGTGGTGATTGATTGATTGTGATCTCATCTACAATTTCAAATATCTAATCCAAACAAATCATTTCATGAATTATTTGAAATCCCAATTATTAGATTAAACCTTATCTATTCACTAAATGATGATAAGATTATAAGATTTAAATGCATTGTCTTTTAATTTGAAATTTAATCTTATCTATAAGTCACTTCTGCTATAAATACATTCTGAAATACATCAAAAAAGACGAGGAAAGAAGAAAACCTCTCATTTTCAAAACCCTCATCTTCCACATCACAAAAAAAAGACTTTGCCCTTTCTCTTGCTGAGCAACGAAGCACCAAAAAGAAAATAAGGCCAAAAATCTACGATCCAAAGACATTTTCCTCAACCTGTGACCTTCTCTTACTTACAGCCAATTCATAAAAAAGAAACCATCTTGTTTCTTTCTCACTAGGGCCATCATCTTTAACACCACTCTTGCACGAAAGTCTGTTTTCGAATGGCTTTCAGTTGAGTTAAAAATGGACCAGAATTGTGGAATCCACGGATGATGCTTTCTGTCCCTTTGCCATTACCGCAAAAGGGTAAGCTAAATGGAAACGTTCGTCATCTCTTGAGAATGAAGTGACTAGGAAATGTGTATTCTCAAGGCTTTTCATAACTCAATCACAAGATGAAAATAAGACAAAAGAAATTTCGGCTGATAGGTTAAGAGAGAAGCGTCTTCGCAATCGAAGGAACAAGAAGCAGAAGGTCATCTCTAAAACAAACTTCGTGCAATTTGAGAACGACCATCCTATTGTGGTTGTGAAGCCTAACATTGATCTTCACAATTCTTTTGGATCTCTCCATGGGGATCATAAGAATAAGAAATAAAGAGCAAGCTCCACCAGTCAAATCGAAAGTATAATCAGTCTCTACTCGCATACGAAAGGCATATGCCAATGTCCGGAAGCAAAAGTGATTGGCGTCGCAACTCCAAAAGGTTGATGGGGCCAACTCTACACCATTGGAGAAACTTGATTAAGATGTCCATCCGTCGCAACTCCAAAAGGTTGATGGGGCCAACTCTACACCATTGGAGAAACTTGATTAAGATGTCCATCAAATCTTAAGTGCTAAAGTATAGAAGAGCCAACAAACGCTCTCTCCAAGATGTGATTCTGATGCAATGCATAGACGTAGAAATCTCGTCTGAACTCGTAGCTGAAATAAAGACGAGACGGAGGCACTGAAGGACCAAGAAAAAGAGGATGATGCTAGGACTTTCCATGCAAATCTAAATAGTGAGAAGCAAAATGACGCAATGATTGAAGATGTGGATCATGATGAAAAAAAGCCAATATTTATTCCAAAAAACTAGAATACTTATGTGTCCTTTTGGTAAAGGACGCTATGATTGAAGAAGATGCGGACATATAATTGACAACTACTAGCTCAGCTCTAAAGCATATCTACCAATTCATCCACCTTTACCAACTCTCTAGAGTATCTTCATCTCACAACTTACGTGTCCTTTTGGTAAAGGAAGTATTCTGATTTTCTGGAATAAATATTGGTTCTTCTTCATCATCGTTCGTATCTTCTTCAATTGTTGTGTCCTTTTGCTTCCCACTATTTTGATTTACATGAAAAGTCTCATCGTCATCCTCTTTATCTTTGTCCTTCATTGTCTATGACTCGTCTTTATTTTGTCTACGAGTTCAGACAATGCTTCTACATCTATGCATTGCATCAGAATCTCCTACGGTGTATACAGTATAAACCACTAATCCTCCAGGTTTATCAACCTTTGTCATTTTTGTTTTGGAGGGAGCATTTTTAGCTCTTCTATACTTTAACACTTAAAATTTGATGAACATTTTAAAAAAGAAGTCCAGGTCAAGTTTCTCCGACAATGTAGAGTTGGCCCCTTTTGGAGCTGTGACGCAAATCGCTTTTGCTTCTAGACAACGATACACGTCTTTTGTATGTGAGTACAGACTAATTGTACTTTTAATTTGATAGGTGGATCTTGCTCTTTAAGAGGTTTCACATTCTTCTAGTCCTCTTGAAGAGGTCCGAAAGAACTGTGAATATGAATGTCAGGCTTCATAGTCACATTAGGATGATCGTTCTCCTCAAATTGCACAAAATCTATTTTAGAGGTGATCATTTGCTTCTTGTTCTTTCGATTGCGAATGTGCTTCTTTGTTAACCCGTCAGCCTTAGTAGCCAAAATTTCTTCTTCTGTCTTACTTTTCTCTTGTGATTGAGCTACGAAAAGCCTTGAGAACATGCATTCCCCTAGTCACTTCATTCCTCTTGTGATTGAGCTACTGAAAGCCTTGAGAACATGCATTCCCTAGTCACTTCATTCTAAAGAGATGACAAATGCTTCCATTTAGCTTCTCCTTTTGCGGTAATGACAATAGACTGGAAGCCTCGTCCATGTCAATTATGGTCCTTTTTGGCAAAACTAACAGCCGTTTGAAAACAAACTTTCATGTTGTAGTGGTGTTTGAAGATAGTGGCTGCGGTGAGAAAGACAAAAAAATGGTTTTTTTCTTATGAGTTTGATGTAAGAAAGAGAAGGCCACAAGTTAAGGAAAGGTCTTTGGACCATGGTTCTTTTGGCTTTTTTTCTTTTTTGGCGCTTTGTTGCTCAGCAAGAGAGAGGGCAGTTTTTTTCAGGTGGAAGATAAGGGTTTTGGGAACAAGAGGTTTAGCTTCTTCCCTCTGCTCATTTCAGTGTGTATTTAAACCCCCCCCCCACCAAACAAAAACAAAAGAAAGATGGGGGGGAGAGAGAGAGAGGAAATTACAACTCCACACAGCAAGTAAGCACATAGGCTCCAATTTGAACGTGGTTATTGTGGGAGGCTCTACTGCAGAATAAAAGCCCACGGAGACATCCAGCTAAAGTAGCTGTATTTGGCTCTTTAATTTAACTAATGTCTTGAATTTTAAATATTGGTTCAAAATGAAAAGTACCCTGCAGATACATTATTCCACACATTTTCTTTTTGCGAGAAGTTCTCCACTGTTTATGAAAGAACATTTTGCAACTCAGGCCCCATGAGAGTCACAATAAGTTTAAGAACACTTAATGAGCGCAAGAACCTGAAACAAACAAGTTGAACCTAATTAAATCGTTAACTTGGTCAAGAATCCTAAAAAGGTCTAGGATCTAAAGAGTATGAAGACTTGTTCTTATCAAATCAGAATTATGCATGACATGTAAAGAACAAACACAAAATAATTGATATTGATCCTATTTAGACTATTTAAATAGCCCCCTGCAAAACTAAACCTCGCAGCGAAATAGTTAACCAACATTTCTAGAAAGCACTTTTCAAAGCGGAAAGTTACAAAATAAATGGATCTGCATATAATCTCAATGAAGAGTTGAAAACTAACAAGTAGTTATAGGATTCAGTGCTAGTGTAAGAATGTCAAGACAACTAGAGTATTAGTTAATCAGAATCAAGTGTAATGCTCGAAGTATCAGTTAGCCATGTTTTTATAATACCTCGTATACTATAAGAGCGAAAGAAAAGACATCTACACTTTTGCCATATGATTCCCGGCGGTAAACCTCAGGTGCCATGTATCGATCTGACAAGTTTAGACAAAGATAGGCACTAGATTGTTATAGTTTAAGAAGAGGAGAGTGCATAAGAAACAGACAGCTTGAAAACTCACATGATCCTGTTCCACCAGTCATTTTATATGAACCATAAGAATCCTTTTCTTGAGCAATCTTGCTCAACCCAAAATCTGTAACCTTCAGGCGACCTGCCTCGTCTTGTAAAACATTTCTGTTGCATTTAGAGCATAAAAACAAGGTTAAGTATCCAAATACTTAGATGGATAATCTACAAGCCGAAAACCAACTCATAACCGATCCATTGGGAGTAACCATTGTACGACCTTGGCGTCAAATCCCTGTGTACAATGGGATGTGGTTTATGCTGGTGAAGATAGTTCATGCCCCTAAAATTTCACGAAGATGAGCACATGAGAAGCAACCTTGATTATAGCATATAATAACAGCTATAGCAATGAAGAGATTGTTTCAAGCATTATAGAAGGTTGAGAGAATACGACCGACCTTCCAAGTCTTAAAATCTTTCAATACATTGAAAAGCTAACACCTTTATATTTTCCAAATATTGAATGTACTTGATGTAACTGTATGCAGTCAGATCAATCTAATGCCATTTACCATCCAATAATTCTTATCTTAAAACGCACAAAATTTACCAATTATAGTATCCGATATTGAAAGCTTTGGATGATCATGTCTAATCATATAGTGAGTTTAAGATAACCATAGCAATAAAAACTGGAACATGGCGGACTAGTCCACAATCATAGCCAATAACATGTTGGCATCCATGGGTGTATGAATTTATGCAATTCATCAGGTCAGGTTGATTTCTATGATTCTATCGCATTTAAGTCATATTTTAGAATGTCAACCTATAGTGTTCATGATAGATGATTGTCTGAGAATTTTCAAGAAAACACAAAAGAAGCTTATGAGCAAGGACATGGCAACATTCCAGCTTCAATACACTTGATAAAGCTTGAAATAGGTTAAGGCACTTCAACTATCTTATCATTTTGATCAGTTGATCCCAGTCTTGTAAAAAACCAGTGTAGGTGGCTGCATAAGTAGTTCAGTACTCAAGGAGCTTCAGGTAGAAAAACATTGTATAACCTAGTTCAGTGCAATGGTGGATGATGCTAAAATTTAAACAGTGAAAAATATAAACTTAATCACAAAGTAACAGTACAAATATTACCCACTAAATGCCCACATATTATTATCAATTTACACATATGTCTAAGATCAAGATTTGAAACTATTTCTGTGTTCTTTAATTACCATAGTATCAAGCTAGATATTTGTTCTTTTAGTCTTAAGAACTCAAAATGAAAAGTGTGGATCCCGGGATATGGCCAGAATACTCTTGGTACGGCTAGATGATCTGCAATAAAGTAGACTACATTCTCCACTACTCTTCATGATTGCCCAATGTCCCCCTCTTAAATTTGCCACCAAATATCAAATACGGTTGTTATGGTAAAATCAGGATTCACAACCAAATATCATATACGAACCTATGTAAATTACATAAGAAATGCACAATATTCAACTGATGCTGAAGAGTATAATAGATGATGAGCTAATGTTTACCATCGTAAGATCTCCATGTATAACTGGTTTAATTTAAATATGGTTGTAAAATTTCTCATGCCCTGTAAACCTGAAAGAAATGATAAGTCCCACTAAGATATGACTTTCCAGTTCCTGGTGAACATTAGCCCCATGTTGAAACAGGATAATTAAAGGACAAACAACTCAATGGGTTGCAATGGAAACTACTCATAGAACAGTGGCAAGGACAATCGTATTGTTCTTGTCTCCTTTGCAGCACCCTTCTTGATCTCCACATTTCACTGCTTCATGGTTTCAGATATCCCTTCTCGTCCTTGTCATTATCTTGCATCATCAGACCCTTGACCCATGTACAATCCTTTGAAAACCATTTTTATGTGTGTAAGGGAGTCCAAGACCATAAAATGAGTTGCAAAGCTCATGATAGCAAGCTTTATTAGCTCTTGAGTTTTAGTTCAAAGCTTAACAGCCTAACAACCAAGCCATGGTTATAAGTAAACTAGTTATGACAAACCTTACTTCTTCCACTTTATCATCCAACATTACATGCATACAGTGTGTTTAGGGAGAATAACTTCTCAACTTCAGCATTTGAATAAACATGGATATGAAGTGAATCTACCATATCCCTTTAGGATGTTAACTTTATCTTTGTAATTAGTTAGCACATTCACCTTGACCATTACTTGAAATTGATTTAGTTTTATTTATATATATTATCTCTATGTTTTTTACCTAAGGTCTTCATTGACATTGATTTGAAATTTCGGAAATATCTCCTTGGCTGGAGATTGCTATAAAAATAAGCGGTTTAATATGAAATAATTTGCTCTGTCTGATTATAGAAACTGATTTATTTTTTATCTTGGCTGAGATCAGTTATTATTGTCTTTGATTTTCTTTAGCTTGAAGTTCCTACATTCTCATCTCTACTCAAATTCCACAACATTCCCAAAGTTCTCTTTATGTCTCTACAATACGCCTAAGGTCTTCATTGACATTGATTTGAAATTTCGGATATATCTTCTTGGCTGGAGATTGCTATAAAAAGAAGCGGTTTAATATGAAATAATTTGCTCTGTTTGATGAAAGAAACTGATTTATTTTTTATCTTGGCTGAGACCAGTTATTATTGTCTTGGGTTTTCTTTAGCTTGAAGTTCCTCCATTCTCATCTCTACTCAAATTCCACAACATTCCTAAAGTTCTCTTTATGTCTCTACCATCTCCTTTGACACTCAATAGACATACGTCTTGCACTTCTCAAACTTATGCTGCCTCGAAATTTTACATCAAATCAAGCACTCCTTGTATAGATTATGGCTACAGAAAATAAACACCTGGCCATCAAATGTCATTACAGAACTTTCACTTAAAAATGAGATGGATTCTATAATTGTATAACACTAATAAAATCATTTGTAGACACCAAGATGTCCAGAGGAGAAACGGTGGTTCTAGTTTAAATTAATTAAGTCAAAATACTCGGAAATAGTGGAGAAAGAGTCTGTCTATACCTTGCAATGTCCAATGCATAAGCAACTGCTGTCAGAGGGTCAAGCCTGCCTTTGTTTTTCATAATTTCATACAAAGATCCCTGTGATTTGGTAAAACTGAGTTCTTAGTAGCCTTACGACATCTACTTGATAGATTTAGTTGACGACATGATTCAGATAGAAAGGAGCAATAAGTAATTGAGAAACTCACTTTTCTTAGATACTCTGTCAGGAAAATCAGACGATCAGGATGCTTCAGTACACCAAGAAACTGGACAATATTTGGGTGACGCAACCTTTGCCACAAGCCCAGTTCTTTCAAGAAACAGTTCCTGTTGTTCTTGTACATCAGTTAAATATCTATGTGAATTAACCGCTGAATAAAGTGGAAGAAGATCCCAAAGTTATCATCCTTGATACATTTTTCAAAAATGTTGTGTAAGAAAATTGCATTAAGTAAGAAAATTGTATTAAGTTGCAGGATGCTTTTTGGATGGGTGTCACAAGTGCTGGACAAAAAGGAGTCCCTTCAATCCAATTATTTACATTAAAGCAGCATAAAAGTTGGTGTTAACATTGTGAATTATCGCAAGCGTTAAGCAAAGAAAATAATTTGTTTGATTGAGCTTCAACCTCCAGGTTCTGACAAGTATTGCAATTTTGAAGTTGTAAAAGATAATCATGACAATGCCCAGAAAATACGCAAGCATACTTCATGATCGTAACATTGTCATCATCACTTAAACCAGCTGCTACCATGTTAGGGTCGTAACAAAAGTGACATTGACTTGAGAAACTAGATCAAATTCTAACAAAGTTTTGCTAACTAGCTACCAACCTTTACATGGGGAAAAAATCAAGGATAAGGAAATAATATGGGGAAAAAGTCGTGAGAGAAAGAGTATCAGTGCAGCTTGAGAAACCTACAAAATGCAGCAAAAAGCACAAGTATGGTTGTTAAAGTTTAAATATAAATGCTGTCTGCTTGCTTCACAGCACTACATACAGTTCCTGATTTAAAGCCTAAACTTTATAAATTGGATAAGGGGGCAGCAACATACAGAAAGCAAAAAAAACCTTAAATCTATCATCTCCTTCCTTTCTGAAAAGTCAAGTTGAATAAATGCACTAAAAAAGAAACATGTTTTGGAGCTAAGTGATTAACTACTCCTCAATAAGCTATTATAAATTTTCTTTCCAAAAAAGACTGCACCAAAAAGAAAAGGAAAAGTGCAATCATGGAAATCAAATCAGAATCAGAACTTGCCATTGACATAATCATTTTATTTATTTATTTATTTTTTTTCCTTTCCAAGGCATAATCATTTTAGTTGTTAAAGAAATATGGCGCTTATCATTTTTCATGTCCTTCAAAAAATACGCTAAGCATCCATGAAAGTGAGTAAACCACATACTATTTAGAAAACGAAAATTGGGATTCAGACAAGAACAGGAACTCAGAGACATAAATCTAACTAAACTAGATGTAGACATCCTGAATTAGCTTAATTGTCATAAAATCATAAAACTCACTTCACCCTGTCATTTGAAGCAATTGAAGAACGAATTGTTTTTGCAGCAACTTCTGTGCCACGCCATTTCACTAAATAGACTTCGCCATATGATCCCTATCCATATTTCAAAAGGATATTAATAAACCTATAAAAAAAAATTGGTCACAGTAACAAACAGTTTACCCAGAGGAGCTGTCTGGTAACATAGATAATCAATAGTCAATTGGGATTTCATAACATTATACTCTATGCAGAAGTCGAAACATGAACGTATTAATGGACTTTGCATGTGACATGTCTATTCTATTTCTACTACATAAACCTGTATGAACAAATTTCTAATGGGTAGTTTGAAAGGTACGTAACTAGCTACTTTTTTTGGAGGTGTCAAGTTACTGGCATACATTAATGGCCTCTGTTAAAGACTATGAAATAATAGGTTCTAAGATAAGAATTTTTTTACAACACTAAATATGGGAAAAGTAAATAGATAACGCTTAAGGGCATTGCTAATCCTTATATAGATAACAGGCATGAAATCATTTTTAGTGTGTTAATTAAGAAGTAACAAACAGATATAAATTAAATTAGGACAGTTAGGTTGGTTTGATAACAGTGTCTGCTCATTATTTGTTCTTAAGCTGTTGACCAAAAGTTGACTACCTAACATGCTATTTGAGCAAGATTATTGGAGGTCCTAGACATGCTGATATAGGTTGGTCATTTTTCTTCTGCAACTAGCAGAACTGTCTTGAGCTCAATCCTATCAAACATTTTGGGATAAAATTTTGCTGCTTTGTAGTTTCCAAAGAAGAACACTGTAAACCTTCTCTTCAGTGTTCTAAGTTCTTTTTTCTTGCACATACGTTCGCATTTACATGCCGGACAATAGTAAGAACATTAAAATTGTATGCTGTTACATCTTCTCATATGATAGACATGGGAGAAGTTATTCATTCTAAGGGGGCTGGAGAATTAAAGAGCTGATGGAGCTATTTGTCAAGCATGGAGATGTACACACCATATGAATTTAAAAGTTATTGACTTATCCCACTGTTCGGGAAGCTAGTGGAAATGTTGATCCTATAGGAGGGGGAAAAAGCCTTGCATGAAAAAGTTCAAGTGACCAAGTATAATTTTAGGGAAAAAAATAAAAAAATTGCCAATGAAGGAAACATCTATGTGACAGAGAGGATTATTTGTACAATGTAAATAAAGCCAAAAAGGCCAGTGAACAAAATCAATGAATCAGCATGAAAAGTTTCCTAGAGGACAGCAGGCTGAAAACTAAAAGTAATCAAGAGATCAAATCAGCAACCACTAGTTAATATTTAGCATTGAGAACCTATAATACTTACCTCTCCAATAAGAACTGAATCATCCATGTCAACCTCTGTGTGATCAAGTTCATAGCAAGGGTTCGAGGCATCAAGCTCCACCTTAGACAAAAATGAAGCAAGATTCAACAATTTAGGACATAAAACCTCAATTTAGTAAGGTTCATAATGATGCTGACCACACCCATGCATAAGAAAGCTTAGCTAATGATGTCTTTAGTATGAGATTTAGGGATTCAGGAAGATTCCTTTACCAAATATTCATCTTCAAAAGAACTTAGTTGATAATGCTTTTCTGATAGTGATGATAATATAAATTTTGAGGTAGCTGTAATGCACATTTATAGTATAGGTATAATTCAATTACCCAAGATCTAAAAACAAGGCAGCAGGACTCAAATAAAAATTGCTTTAGCGTTCATGACCATATTCTGATATCCTTTAGTTGACTAGTGAACATGATCATGACAAATTACAAAAAAGTTAATTGTCAAGCATGCTGAAGTTCCTACGCAAAAAATTCTGTTTTGACATACAATAACAACAAAACCTTTAATCCCTAATATCAACGTAGCTCAGATAAATCTTTTTGTCCATGCACTTCTATTGATGGCCACCTCCCGTGTTAAGCCTCCAAGTTCAATGTAAAGGATTAATCTTGAAACAAGTTTGTGCAATAACTCCAACCAGTGTTGTGGCTAACGTCTTTATTCTCTCATTGTCAGCCCCAATCCAAGAAAAAGGAGGATTCTTGCATTAGTTAGATGAGGGTCAGAATAAGAAAGTGGTATCTCTATGTAAATGACTAAATTTTAGCAACCAATAGTTCCTGAATATTAATTAAAGAAAGTACAAATCCTTAAATAGTTCCTGAATATTAATTAAAGAAAGTACAAATCCTTAAAGTTAAAAACATTATTCATGCATCTTAGTCTAAATGTTGATTACAATTTACTGCAATATATATAATAAAAGTGTACAATCATCAATGAATAAATTCAACATAAAAATTAATGTTGTGAATAAACTGCACAACAGATATCTTTCGGAGATGCAAGGAATGATGATTAAATTACATCCATATGTACGTATTTTACGAGATGAATCAAACAGTTGAAATGTAGAAATATATAAAATATCAAAAGAACCGGACTCCTAATAACGACCACAATAAACATCAGTTGTTATTAAAGTCTAATCTAATTGCAATTTTTCCACAAACAACAGAACATTCAAACAGTAGAAGCTATTAATATTGTCAATGAAATAATTACCGGATCTGTTCCACCATGTGCCTCTAGAATCTTGCAAATATCCTCATGTTCAAAACTGCGAGCATCTGATAATGGCTGCAAAAATAATATACTATTTCCTTTATTTGGAATTTGACTACACCAGTAAAATTACAGTAAGTAACATCACAAAAAAATACAAATGGAAGAAAGCAAGCATACGAAAGCCATCAAAATATGCATTGTTCTTGCCACCAGAATATGCGAGAAATTGCTCATCCACCAGAAGCTGCTCAAAAGATTTTGACTATAATCTGTATGGTAGAACGGGCCACAGGTACATAAATTTAAAAAAGGATAGATGACTGATGAATCTAATTACATAGATCATAGCTGTCGACTTTTCCATAACAGATAATATATTAATGATAATATAGTTGTTGATAATTCGATAGTACTGCAGTATATTTTATTTTAGGAAACCGATATTCTAATACTTTTACATTACATCACATGGTATTTTAACATGAAGATTTTAAGAATCAGTATAATGTGTTGGAACTAGAAAGAGCACTGCCCAGCAGGAGCCATCTCTTATGTATTCGACAAGGCAGGTCCTGAGCTTCATCGAGAAGAATTGTTTGTCGGCCACACAAGATGCTGTTAATTTATAACCACAAAGAAATTACAACTGGCAAACTTTCATGACATGTTTAAGGAATGTTCTATACATGTCATAAAGAGTGTATAACAAGTATCATATCTGAAGAAAACTGAATTTGATGATAGGAAGTCATCATTCGATACAAGTCAACTTATTCTATATACTCATATATAACCTAAACTGTCAGGGAAGTGCACCAAAATTATAAGCATTGATATCATGTTTGATAGGCATCTGACATGTGTTCAATGATCTTCCTATAAAAAAACATGTTCAATAAGGACACAGCTTCATGAATTCAATGATCTTCCTATAAATGTCTTGTTCAACAAGGACACAGCTCCATGAAGGGAAATCAACCTTTTCTGCCCTTCATAATCAATCGATATGACAATTTATATATGAATTGGAAAAAAAAAAAAATAATAACAATAAAGCTAATATAAAGAGATGCATCAATAGCAGAAACAAATGTTGTGCGCGGCATAAAATTATAAATGAGATTTATTTGACAAGCAACACCTTGAGCATAAAATGCATTTGTGCATCTAGTTCATATGCAATAGTCAACTTACTGTGCGCCCCCAACGATCTACAGAATTCACATTAGCCCCTTTCACAAGTAGCAAATTCACAATCTCAGTGCAGCCTTCACAAGAAGCCAAATGGAGTGCAGTTCTCTTATCATAGTCTGCTAGGTTTGGTGAAACCCCGCTCTCAATTTCTTTTATCACTCCATTTTTATCCCCCTTGCTTGAACAGTATAGAAGGCGGTATGGGCCTTCAAGGTCAATAGGCTTGGGTTGACTACTCTGTCAACAAGATGAAAATATATCTGTAAATAATAGCGTGAAGACACAGAAATAAGTGCAGAAACTAAGAAAAACAAAGAATTAAATAGCGTCAAGATTTAAATTTACAGGGACGTTATAAACCTAAGAAAATAATGCAACTCAAGTGACAAGACAACTTCAACGTTAGACAAGAATATCAGACAGACTGGCTCTGGCTGGCTAACCAAACCAAAGTTTGTCGCATGCTGGTTACTCATGATAGATGAGTTTCTGAAGAGAATTTCACATGTTGTCATGCTGGTCATGTAAATCATGCAATTCATCCATCTACATGATATAAGAAACTATATTTCAAGAACACAAACAAAAAACACAACGTTCATCCATCTACATGGTAAGCATGCTCCTATCTTATTACATGGTTGTCGCATTAAGGTTTTTGTTTCAATGAAATCCATGGACCATTATGACCTCAAAACTTAACATATACTATTAAATGTTTGTGTCAGCGCGAACGTTCATGTGTATAAGTGAGAACAGTACCTGGTAGAGGTGGTAGGATTCAAAGTGATAGAAAGAGATAAATTGCCAATTTGCCAATGACCCTTCAACTTTTAGTAAAACTAAAAAGAGAAAAGAATCTATAGTGCATACTGATGTCCAAGAAATACCTAAAAGTAACTACTTTCGTTATTTAGCATCAATGATTTGTCATGATGATGAGATTGAGGATAATGTTGTCCATCAAATCAAGTCAGGATGGTTAAAATGGAGGAGTGTTTCGCGAATCTTATGTGATCGTAGAATACCTATAAGACTATAAGGAAAATTCTATAGGACGGTTATATGACCAACAGAGCTTTATGGATCGGAATGTTGGGCAATTAAAAAACAACATGCGCAAAAAATGAGTGTAGATGAAATGAGAATGTTACAATGTCTTGTGGGTATACACTAAAAGATATGATAAGAATTGAGTACATCCGTGATAAATTATAGGTTGCTCCTACTGAGAAATGAGGATAAAATGAAAGAGGTTTGACTAAGATGGTTTGGTCACATGTAATGGAGACCACTTAGTGAACTGGTTAGGAAAAGTGATAATATTATAGTTAATGGGACAGAGATCTAGAGGTGGTCCTAAAAGAACTTGTTGGGAAGTATTAAGAAGGATGTGGTAATGGTTAACTTAACGAAGGAGATGGCCCATTGTAGAATAGAATGGAAAAATATGATTCATGTAGCTAACCCAAAACATTTGGGATAAAGGCTTTATTTTTTGTTGATGTTGTTCACCCTTCAACTGTCACTCCCTTCACCAATAACCACTCTCAAGTCTCCACTTCAAATCATATGTATACCACCTGCGACAGGGCATCTGGCATGAACTCTTGACATTGTTTATTTAAAAAAAACACTTCACTGGTGCTCCAACATAAGAAGCTCCAGGTTATCAGTTTTATGTTAAATTGACGTTTCCCATCCAGTAGAACTACATTAAATAACAATCCTTGTTCCAGTTCTCTCCTCTTAAGTACCATAATTCTTCTTCGCATCTTTGTTCCAAAGACAAAACCTTTCAAAGCGAACCAAACCATATTGGAGTTTGTTAAGTGATCAATTTTTTATACTTCAAACCTGGATCAAAATTTTTGGGGTTTGCTCATCTCCAGAAACCTATTGGGAACCAAAAGTATTTTACTTGGCTATGTGAGGTGGATCATTTGCTTCTTTTCTTCTGTCGACATAAGCTAAGATACAAGATTTTTCAATCAAAATATGATGTTGCTGTCGTCTCTAATACGATTTGTAAGAAATCCATCTAATTTATGTGTCATGTCATCTTAAAAATAAAAGAACTGATATTTCTTATGAAAATTTGTTATTTCAAATGGAGAATGTGCTCCATCGTCTCTAAAACCCTTCTTGAGCACATATAGACTACAATTTTTTTGTCAAAAAAATTAGACAATAAAAAAAATTCTGGGTAGTTAAAGCTTGTTTTGAATTTGTATAATGAGTTGAGGTTTTTTTACTTTGGGATTGAGATAAATTTTAACGAAGTTTAAGCCATAAAGATATTGAACATTTTAGATAAAAGATTCAATCATAGGTAATGGGTTCATAGCATTATAATCATGAACAAATACTCGCAACTGAAACATGATCTCATAATAAAATAGCAATTTATGTCGGTTCTCTAACGACTAATCAAACAGAAAACAGATCAAATGGGGATCAAGGGTAGTAAAGATGCTACCTTTGAGCGCTGCATCGGATTGCAAGGGCAGCCCTCCATGTGAGAAGGTATCGGATCGGTGCGGATCCAGGGAAAGGGGGCGAGATCGAAAGGAGGAAATGAAGAGAGGATAAAGATCCAATGGAGTCCTCATCGCCCTTTTTAGGGTTTCGGATTTAACGAGAGGGGTCTCTGTCGAGAATGGGAGATGTGATCGAGGAGGAAGAAGAGTTTGGACGTGGAGGGAAGTTTGGGATTGGGGGTTTAGGGTTTTAATATGAGTTAACTTCAACGGTTTTTCCTTCTTCCGGAAGAACATAGAACAATTTTTCACTGTAGACCCGATCTGCGTTTTTATTACCAAAACCGACCGAAAATTTTTTTAATTACCAAAATCGACCCGTTTTATGCCACGTAGGCTTAAGCTCATTTCCTAATTAGTCGGGGTTGCCAACCCCGACTGTTTAGGAATTGTTAAACCCCAATTAAATCAGGTTTAAGGCTTCTAATTACGGTTTAACAACTCCTAAACAGTCGGGGTTGGCAACCCCGACTAATTAGGAAATGAGCTTAAGCCTACGTGGCATAAAACGGGTCGAATTTGGTAATTAAAAAAAATTTCGGTCGGTTTTGGTAATAAAAACGCAGATCGGGTCTACAGTGAAAAATTGTTCGAAGAACATAATAAAGTTTAGTATCTTCTTTGTAAGTTTTTTTTTTTTTTTTTTGAAAATCTGATGAGAACTCGCAGCCTTTTAAAAATTAAAATTTAGTGACAATTTTTTTAGAGCGAAAAATTATAATAATTTATGAAACCTTAACAAAAATTCGTAGTAGTTTTTAGAAATAAAATACATGATAAGCTTTTTAAATTAGCCTGTAAAAATTTTCTTTATTGTATGTGTGTTATCTTTTAGAATATAAAATTATAACTCCTAATCTTCATTGCAGTTTTGGAGTTTTGCGTACAACGGCATGGATTTTAAGTTGGTACCAGACCCCATCCAGATTCTAATTTTGTTGGCTATAAATTTTGAAGCAGCTTGCACAAATATGTTAGAAAATAAAATATAAAAATTATAATATTCACTATAACTTCTGATTTTTTTTTTTTTTTGCTAATAACTCTCTTTGAAGGATTAACTACATGATCTTGATTGTTGAAGATGTGAATGAGTTCTCCGTGGGGGGCTGGGTTTGATTCACGGGTGCGCCAAGGGCACGATAAAAAAAAGAATAAGTTCTCTCTTAAATAAATTATAGGAAACAATAAAGAGATTTGAGTGATATTTACTTTGAATTAGAGATAATACTGGCCAAAAAGTTAATTATGATAATCATTTGCTCTATGTAAAACCCCAAAATTTTTATAATGAATATATGTGAATTATTAGTAATAAATAATTCCTTTGTGATAAATAATCATATATATATTAGATGAATGTGATTATCAGTGTTTGGGAACCCAACAAGTGTTTATATGTGAGAGAAATTGAGTGGTTTGAGCATCGTGTGGTAAATCAATCTAGGCAGGGATTTTTCTTCTGAGCGGTCGACCGCAGTGGACGCGGCGGTCGACTGCACATCAGTCTCGCACTCAGGAAATCTCTTTCCTGTTGTGCGGTCGACCGCCCAACAGGCAGAGAGTTTTCTGGGTTCGGGTCTAAATGGGTTTCGGGTCGGGTTGTGGGTTAGTATATATGCTAATGAACCCAAGAGAGCCTCTTTTCATCTGAAATCAGAAACCCTAGCCCCCCTCTCTCCCCTCAAACCCTAGTTCTCACTTCTTGGTGATTTGGGAGGAGCTTTGAAGGGTTTTTCAGCGGATTTTTGGTGGATTCAGCGAGAGGGATCATCTTCCTTCAGATCTAGGGCTTTGTTCTCATCAGAGGCGAGTAACATCTCGCCCAACTTCTTCCCTTTTATGTTTTCATGTTTAAATTTGAGTTTTAATTCGGTTTATTGGGCCTAAAATCGTATTTTTGTAGATACAAAAGATCCTTATGACATATGGCATGATAATCAAATGTTTCATATTTTAAAAACACACCAACGAACTGTATTAAAGAGATCTAGATCTGAAAATGGTTTTAAAAAGAGTAAATTTCTGTTTTCATTGAATAAACAATATTTAAACCATGTTTATATATGTTTGGGATCTTGATGATAGATTTTAAATGTCTAATTTCGTTGTCTTTTGTTTTATGACTTTGTAAAAATGTTAGATTTACATTAATATAGAAATCAGCGAATTTGATTGTGATTTGAAGCTGACAGAAACCCTAACTGGGCTTCTGTCTACTTCGCGGTCGACCACGGTGGACGCGGCGGTCGACCGTTCTGTAACGTTTCCAGCAGAAAAGTTTCTGCTCTTTGAGCTGTCGACCGGCATGACCTCTGCGGTCGACCGCTGCTCAGTTTTGAGCCCAGTGAATCTCGGCTCTGTGAGCAGTCGACCGGAGTGGTCTCTGCGGTCGACCGCTGCACAGTTTTGTGCATACTGACTTTTTGTTGATCTTTTCGCGTGT